CAACAGAGCAGCGTGTCAATCGTATTTTAATGGCATCAACACTTTCGATGATTGCACCTAAAGGATCATCAAACTACTTCTGGGCGAGGTTATCTCGAAAGCTACTCATGCGAGAGACCACAAACCTTTAGCGCCGTTAAAAGATAATGAAAAAAATCCGAAACCTATTGGGAGCACTCGTAGTTTTTCTTTTTATCTACTATGCTTTTTATTTTTCCTTCACTTAAATCATACTGCACTGAAATCATCAGTGCGCAAAAGAATCACATATGACATTCGTATCCCTGGATTATGGCGGGAGTTTATAACCTAGTTAAAGAGACTAGTCTGCCAAAGTACTGTAGTACGCATTATCCTCTTTTACATTCATGACATAGCTGCAAAATTTTATAGTGTTTCTCTAAACTATGAGTTGTATGAAGGCCAGAAACTCACTAATAGCCTTATTGATTTACTCTTGAGAGGAAAATACCGTCTACTGCATAGACGGTAGATGCTACGTTTCATGAAGTCAAAGACAAGTCACTCTCTCTGTCAGCGTCAAAGTCGCTGTCTATATCACTGTCGCAGTCAGTGTCTACCCCTCTGTCACTGTCTGACTGTCACCGTCTTGGTCACTAGCGCTCTCCCAACCACTATCTCTGTCTCTGTCACTGTCACTGTTACTGTCTCTATTTATATGTCTGTCAGTGTTACTGTCCTTGTTTCTGTCTCTGTCACCGTAAGTTTCAATGTCAGTTTATGGTGACTGTCTAAGTCACTATTACCACCACACTGGGTCTCTGACACTGCCTATCTCCCAATCACTCTCTATTATGCGGTCTCTGTCACAGTCCCTGTCTCTGACTCTATTGCTGTCCCTGTCACTGTCACTATCAATGTTTCAGTTTCAGTTTTGACTGTTGTAGACTACTTCAGGAGATACTAGAAAAGGGGAAGTTGTACGCTTCACGAAGAGAAAACATTCATGACCCGTAGATCACCTCTATCACTTAGAGGCATCAATGGTCCACAATTCAGGGAGAGCGTGTTTCAGCAGTTTATGGAAAGCCTCGGTATAGAGCCTTGTTACGAAAGTGTATGTACTACAACAACGACAGTAAGTTTCGTACATGTACTGCAACAGTGACTATACATACGAGAGTACACGTACTGCAATAACCTCACAACTGGACACACGAAAAGTGCCATTTAAATATTGAAGATTTGAGCCTGGTCATGGTTAAAAATTCCCAAGTAGATGATAGCTCCTTGGTCTTGATGTAAAGACCTTCCATGGACAGGATCACCGTGTCTGCGTAGCAGAAATCAAAACAAAGAGTACCATTCTCATCAGACCAATTCTGAAGCTATGTTTGCTCGAGGAAGCCGGGAGTAACTGTGTTGAATTGTTGTGCCTCTTTTGTCATCATATTATCTAAAGATCATTTCTGCTTTTCGGGAATAAAATTCTTCTTCACATAATAAAAAAGTAGCAAATTAATTGTGTAGCAATCTTGGGTGTTTTATCGAAGCTGGCTCAAGTTAATAGCGTTTTGTACACTCTTTTTGCAAAGCAACCTTTTATTTACACCTTGATTAAAATTTACAGCAAAAAGTTTAGGAAAAATCTTTATCCACATGCAGATTTTCTTTCGAAGTGAGGCCATGTTTATCGGAGAATCGCGCCACAAGGACCGTGACGGAGACTGTCCACTTTATTGTACATCATAGGAGCCCAGTTAGAGACTCCCTCTACGGCTATTTCGAAGATCCAGAAATTCCCTATTTCGCTATACTAAGTAAGGACTCTTTTGTAGACTATCTATTTCGCTCTAAAAATTTCTGTATATCTTAAAGGACCCAAGTATAGACTCACTATTTACTCATGATGATAAGGTCCCTTTGAGGGACTCTATTTTACCACGTATCATAAGGACCCAAATATGGGCTGTCCTTTTCACAAAAATTGAGGTCCTTCCCTCTATTTTACTTTTCATCATTAGGACTCAGTTATAAATCCTTCATTTCACCGTAAATTATAATGTTCCTTTTTTCTTTCCTGTTTATCATAGGGTCCCTTTCAGAGACTTTTAAGTTAATTGTAGTACATTACCAGACTCTATAGGAAAATCTACTTCTCAAGTATTCCAATTTACCACAAAAAATTTCAAGGCTTTTGTAAGAGACTTTCAGCAACACTTTACAATTTAACAAGGCCCCTTAACTGAGTATAAATAATCGGTCATAATAAAACAAAATTCGAAAGACATTTTGAAATCAAGAAACAAGGTCCTTAATACAGAGAGGAGTTTAGACTTCCATTGAGAACCATGGATGCTGCAGAACTTGTTTAAGAGTTGGTCGCTGATCTGCTTCGGGATTCAACAACATGTATACAACATTCTTGACCTCTGTTTTAAAAAGAAAAAACAGATAATTATTGATTTGAGTCAGATTTTTACGGTTAGTGCCCTTAAAATCACTGCATCATCTCTTAGGAAATTAAGGGTCGCAATCTCTTGGTACTTAAGGGAAATAGTTCGAAACCCAAAGAATCATACCCTAGGTTATCTCAATGGCCGGATTTATCTCTAAATAGTGTAAATGGAGCCATTTCATTTGTGTCGAGGCAAAGTAATTCCCTACGTCATCCTCAGCCAGCTTGGATGGCGATAACCAACAATGACCTAGTAACAGTTCTTATAGACTTTGACCGATAATTGAGGGCGAAGATGTTCGACCATCACACCAGAATTTCCGAAGATTTGTAATTCCACTAAGTGCTCGTTATGACACTGAACAATTGAAGAAAGCGATTTTAAGTGTACATTTAAACCAAACTAATACACACCTGATGAAAAGTGTTGAGGTATTCTGGGCTCCATGCTTAGGCAGTGTTGTGGTTTTTCAAATGCAGAAATAACGGGTGACAACATATCGACCAAGAGGATTCCCATCGCCCATACAGTTGCCTCGCAACCGTCATATTTACTTGTTTTCATGAATTCAGGGGGCATATATTGATTCGTACCTAAAGGAAAATTATTGATAGCTAATTAGATATCAAATATAAATATAAAATTGTGGAGGTTCTACCCGTACTCCTACATGGTCCATATTCCTGGCCTCCACTTCTGTCACGTGATGCAATGTATGATTTAATTGGAACATTATGTAATGTTATGAGATGCGAAATCGAGACTACGAATATCAGCAATGAAAAGATACTAAAAATAAAGGGGCTGGGTTCAAAGACTGAAGGGTCGTTTTGGTACAAGATCTGTCAACTGGGCTGGCCTTCTTTCTGAGATCTTAGATGTTTGGATGCCTGATTAATCTACGTTATGGGGAGTTGAGATCACTCAAAACAGATTTCTCTTACGGAACAGTTCTTACCTCTAAAGCTTTCAAAAGGCTCTTCTTGTATCTCAGATGCCAACCCAAAGTCAATCAACTTCACCTCATCATTTGTCAAATCCAGCAAGATATTTTCAGGCTTGAGGTCGCGGTGTACAACACCTTTTTCTTCGCATTTGATGTTAGCTTCCAAGATCTTAGTGAAGTATCGTCTCACTTCATCTTCTGACAATGGGTTTCCTGCGGAGTTACGGTCCTGTATGAATTCAAAAAAGTCTTTGCAGGATTCTGGTCGTTCCATAACATAACAGTAATGTTCTTCTGTAAAGATGAGTTGGTAGATTTGGATGACGTTTGGGTGACGCACTCGACTCATCAGATAAGCCTCAGCCGGGATTTCTCTTTCTCTCAGCTGTAACAAGGGAGGGGAGACAGGATAAGACTGTTAACACAATTTAAACTTGCTTTTAATAAGTTTCAGTTACAAACTAAACGACAACAGGAGTCCGCTGATATTTTGGAGTAAGCAACTGTGATATATTTTGATGCAGCGCCATCAGAGACAAACTGACAAACTGTTTATAAACTGTCATAAACTCTTGAGACAAATCAATATTCCGATCGCATTTTTCGGGAATGTATTGGCATCCGTGACGGTCCGCAGCCGAGATGAATATTTTTATGAACGCACCTTGACTGATGAAGGGGAAGAAAAAATTCACATAAGAAATAAACAGCTCTATGAAAACAAGACAGGCGAACGATGATTTAAATCACTGCAATTCAATATTAAATTTGCTTAAATATTTCCAATCAATCCCAACCTGCTTGTATCAAACACAGAATGCAAAGTGATTTCAGGTCTTGAATCATTTTAATT